TTTCTGATTCCATGTGAACTTTGGGATTGTTTGTTTTATAGCTGTGAAGAATGTGTTGGTATTTTAATAAGAATTGGATTGAATCTTTAGATCTAATAGCACAGGAGATAATAACAGAAATCAATAAATGAGAGTACATCAAATTTAAAAGCATCTGCACAGAAAAATAAAAGAGCACAGTAAGACAACCTGCAGAATGAAAGAAAAAAGTCTTTGCTAGCTACTCTTCTGATAAAGGATTCATATCTAGCATATATAAAGAACTAAAAATTAATCCCCAAACAAATAATTGGGATACAACAACCCATCCCATAATTTTCTACTATAAGTTTGTACTTTAGCATAACAATAGCCAGATATGTGTCTCAGTAGCTGCACCTGTGGGATACAGGAAGCAATCTTTGTGTTTACCCACTTGGTATGATGAATGGCAAGGTGTATGCTCATGAGCAAAAGTGTTAAACCAAGATTTTTACACACATAATGTTCTGGCTAACAGAACAGTTTTGTAATGCTTTATTCTTTGAGTTTCCTGAAAGGAAACTCACACTTATAAAAATATCAGTTTCTTTGTTTTGGAAAGCTTTGTTTTGTGAATGAGTACCTGAGCATCACAGGGGGTAAAATACACCCATACCACTCTTCTGCTTTGAAAACATGTATTTTACCACAATGGAATGAGGGAGTAGCTCGATCTGGGGAAAGCAAAAATCCATCTGTGTGTTCACCCACTTGGCAGACCAATGGCAAGGTGTGTTCAGGAGCTCCAAAGCAGCAACAAGTGAATTTTACCCATGAAATGTGCATTACTAAATTTCTGTAAATTTAGGGTTTTGTTTTTTGAAAAGTTTTCTTTTGATTTTTCTGGTAGAAATAGCCCAATTCAGCACAATGGCACATGAAAACCTAGATTTGCAAGTTTTGGAGGAGGACAAAAGTGAATCATCTGATAACTCATGCATGGATGATGATGATAATGACTTTGACATTGGCCATGAAGCCAAAGTTCCTGTGACAATGAAATGGAGCAAGAATCAACTGATACAGACACTGGGAATGCTGATCTCCTTGATTCAAATGATGAAGAAAATAGCAATGTGAGTACATATTTGACTACTTGAAATGTTGCAAAATGGTCCTGCAACCAAATGGAATGATCCAATGTTAGAACTAGGTCTGAAAATATAGTGAGGATCTTGACAGAATGCCAGCACTGCCATTCAATGTTGGTAATTATAACAGACAAAATGCTACAAGATGTTGTGAAATACACCAACACTGAAATACAAGTAAAGTGTTCTGTATGCACCAATAGCCAACGTTAGAAATTGTTTTTATTCTGATACTTCACAAGCTGAACTGAAAGTATTCATAGGTCTGCTGTACTTAGCAGGGATTTCTCATGGTAATATCAAGAATGTAAAAGACTTATGGAAAAACAATGAATCAAAATATGGCGTAAAAATTTATGCCCTTGAAGATGCAAAGACTTATTATGCTTTTAATTTAGGAGTTTATTCTGGAACTCAGCCACCTCAGTCCTTATTTGCATAGTAATAAATCAAATAAAGTCGTGAAAAGACTTGTTTCCATCTCCCAAACTAATTGGAATGTGACACTTGACAATTGGTTTACCAGTTTCTAATTAATATTACATTTGCTAACAGACCACAAGTGGACCAGCATAGGAATTGTACATAGGAACAAAGCAAAAATTCCAAATGAAATGTTGCAACTTCAAAACAGAGATTTGTATAGTACAATCTTTGGATTTAGAAAGTTTTACATTGGCCTTGTATATGGCAAAGCAAAACAAGTTGGTACTGCTGATGTTAACATTGCACCATAATGGGAATATTGTTAGGGAAAGGTTGACAAAACAAAAGCCTGGGATGGAAATTTTCTACAACAAAACTAAAGGTGGAGTAGATGTTGTTGATGAGTTATGGAGGAACTATAATGTCACTCGAAACAAAGCATTGGCCAATGGCTATGTTTTATTTAATCCTAAACATGTGTGGCATAAATAGTTTGATAGTTTACAAATAAAACAAGTGCAAAATACCATGGAAAATTTTTCTTAGAGGATTAGAACTAGAACTCATAAGGGATAATTTACAGTAGAGGAAAAACAAAAGGTTTCTGGCCAGAGAACTATGCCAAAAAATCGTGGAGCACACTGGTGAGCTTCCAGGTAAACATGCAGGTGCAGAATCCCAAAAACCTGCTATGTCAACAGGAAAACCAAAAAGATGTCAATTGTGTCCTTCAAGAAAGAACAGGAAAACAAAACATACATGCTATCAGTGTAAGAGATATTGTGTATGGAACATGCAATTTTAATGTGTGAAGGCTGCCTTGGGTATGACAGTTGAAGCAAAGATTATTTTTATTGTAGAGGTCTATTGGTATTTTCATTGTAGTTTACATAGGTTTTTATTTCTGATACTATCTTTTAGGTTTTGCAAGCAAGTACACAGCTGATGTGAAAATGTTGATGTCTATTGTAAGCACTCATTATATATTTGATATTTTATTTTATTAATTCTTATTTTCATTCTAAGTGCACAATTTAGTACAATATAGTAGGAAGCTCCTGACAAAATATGAAAAGAAGAAAAGTAAGAAGAATGGCCTGCCACATAGGAAAGGAAAACTATGCACATGTGCTGTTGGTATAAGCAAGATGTGTGTATGGAATGTTCTGTTGTCAAGTGTGAAGACGGCCTTAGGTGTGATAATTGAAGTAAAGATTACTTTTTATTGAGTGTTATTGGTATTTTCATTGGAATTTATTTCTATTGTTCTTTTTAGACTTTGTACACAAATAATGAAAATTTAGATGCTTTATTATGAACACTCAATAAATATTAACAATTCAATGCTTTATATCTTTCCTATTTAGTACTCATTTAATATATAAACTCATAAAATTAAAATTAATAATTCATAAATAGAAATATTTAATGAATAAACATGGGTATTATACACCTATGTTTTTGTGCTTTTATGACAAAATTGGTGTTATGCCCCATGGGCTATAAAATAGCAAATGAGCTGAATAGAAACTTCTCAAGAGAAAAAAATACAAACAGTAAATAGGTACATGAAAAAACCATTCAACATCTTTAGCCATTAGAGAAATGTAATCAAAACTACACTGTGATTCCATCTCACCAGCCAGAATGGCTACCATCAAGACAACCAAAACTAATAAATACTAGTGAGGATGTGTGTCTGTGTGAGTGGGGAGGGGGGTGGAACTGTCCTACACCATTGATGGGAATACAGAAATTAGTATGCAGATTCCTCAGAAAACTAGAATAGAGGTATCATTTGATTCATACTATATGAATACATATTATAGCAACATGGGGATATAAGTATTCCCACATTTATGGTGATACAATTCACAATAGCTAAGCTTTGGAAATGGTACAATGCCTGTCAACAGAAGAATGGATAAAGGAAATGTGTCATATACACACAAGAGAATATTATCCAGGCATGAAGAAGAATGAAATCGTGTCATTTGCAAGAAAATAGGTGAAACTCCATCATGTTAAGGCAAATAAGCTAGATTCAGAAAGTTAAATATCACATTTCCTCTTATGAGAAATCTAAATGCATATTTATATTTAAACAAATGAATATGATAAGGAGAGATCATAGAAAACTAGAAGGTAGGCTCTTGAAGTGGGGAGTGAGAAGAGAAAGGGGAGAAAAGGGAGAGTGTGTAAAGGGGATTGAAAATGTCCAAAATACCAAAATACGTCATAGAAAAGTACCAATTCCCTGAAGTGAACCTCACTATTCTGCATTACTAACATGCAGTAATAAAAATAATCATTCACAATGACTTGGAATTATTTCTTCCTCTGTGAAGTAAAAGTATTTACTCATTCATTTATATAACTCATATCTGATCTTTTATGATCACTTTCTATTGTTCCAGGAATTGGAGCAGCAAAGAAATTCTGAGCTACCAACCCAGGGGATGTGGGTGTCACATTTTAGAATCCAGACTGAGCTCTGCTTCCTGATCTACGAAGCACCATACAAATTCAAGAGGTTCTGACAACCAAAGGCTACAAGTGAAGGCTAAAACATGAAATGACAAGCACTTATTAGGTTGCGTGTGAGAAGAAAATGAAAGATAATATAGTAGGCCCTTGATTACACACGGACAGGGTAGTTTGTGATTATCAATGCCCTTTGATTCTCCTTCTCCTTCTATCCACCAACTATTGCGTATTTCTCTACTCATTAGCACCTGTGGAGGAGTGGGAAGGTGAAATGCTAATCAGTCAATTTGGCTAATTGCTAGCCTCTGCTATGATCCTTTTTTAAATGTTGAAATAGGGAGGAATTGAAATCTTTTACTAAAATGTGAGCTATGGATTTCAAAACCTTGTGTCACCGTTTTTTATTACTGTATAAACTCAAATATTTTGTTTTCAGTTAGAGATTAGCAAAAATAAAAATCTAATACTTCCTTGGTTCTAAAGTATGAGATTTGAAGCTCATATTTCATATTTCTTATTGATCAGTGCTCAGTATTAATCTCCTACACATGCCTAATTTAGAAGAAAGCTTAGGATTTAACAGTGGCAATTTAAAATGTAGCCTTGTATAAATAACTGCACTTGCTAAGTGGATTTGGACCAACAGGCAATCAACTGTGAGAAAATTACTTAAGATTCCTCTCTCCTGCACCCCTGGTAGCATTTCAGGACCCTCCACAAACCAAATAAGGGAAAGAGGAATGTTCTGAGCATTAAGGACACTAAGAATAAATCTGAGCTATCAGGGATAAGATTACTTTCAACTCTTTATCTCATGTTTTCTGAAGCAGAACCCAAGACCTGTAATTATCCTTAGAAAACTGCTGGGTCCTAGACACTACGTTTTAGTTCCTCTGCCCCCCCCCCATCTCTCTTTGGGGCTGGGGAGCTCGTGTGTGTGTGTGTGTGTGTGTGTGTGTGTGTGTGTGTGTGTGTGTTGCTGTGGGGTGCCAAAAAATGTGCTGAAGAGTCCCAGGGAGATGAGGCTATTTTTGTTCGAAGCTGATACTTCTTACTGAGCTGCAAGTGCTGCTAGGGAAAGGGTGAGGTTGTTTCCAGGGGAGAACTCTGTGCAGAAGAGGCAAAGTTCCACAGGACGGCAAAGCAGCAGCAGAAACAGCCAGGAAAACAAAGAGCTCTTACGTTTCAACACAGAACCCTCGGCCAGAGTTCTCCAATCCTAAAATATTCTGCAAAGTACCACTTGACGGGACCTTCTCACCCGACTGTGACTTCCTACGACCACGATGACTGAGATCACCGCCGAAGGTATCTCTGCCTCCAGGAGGATCCCCCGGGGGTTGGGGGAGCACTGGCAGCCACGTGGACTGATAGTGCTCCCACCTGAAATGTGGTCTTGAGGGCCTTCTCCTGTGTAGTGTGGGGAGCGGGTTGGGAGCTGAGAGGCTACTGGTTTAGAGCATTGAGGTGCGGGTCGGGTGAAAAGAGATTTCTTTGAAATTTTGCATGTGGAAACTGCTCTCCGCTATACCGAAGGCTCCCCACCCCCTAGCCAGCAGCTGTCACCCACACCTCCATAAATAGCTACTTGGTGTAACACGAAGGCCGATCCCCTATCCAGCATGAAGGACAGGGATTGCACAGATGAAGACCACGGTAAACTGAAAATATTCCAGTTAATATTTAAACTCAGAGAGGTGATTGAGAATTTTTGCTTTATGGTATTTACAAATGGAGATCTTAAATTCATTTTTCCTTTTAAACCATAGTTTATGAATACACATACATATGTAAAATTTATATGCAACTTAAGACAAATGTTCTGATAAAATTTCTATTTTACTCTTAAGGGACACCTCGAGATAGAGATGAAAAGTCCACATGCTAATCTACCAGCTTTAACAATAAAGCCATTAAATATTAGAATCGGATTCTTTTCATAAATTCCTTTCTATTGCTCTCAAGTGCTGAAGTGTGTCTTTATGTTAGAATAAATAATTTGTTTCACTGCTTATCCTATATGCCACACTTTAAATATAATTTTTATTATTTGGCTGTGGTAGCAAATTCTCTATAAACACACACTTCTTTTTTGTCTTACAATAAAGAAATCATTTAAAACTAATGTGTTTTGAATACTGACTCAGCCTGCTTCTAGTTGGAGCAAAAATTTTGGAGGTGGATCTAAAATCTGCTTCTGCCAGCTGTAAGAAAACAAGACAGGCAGTGCTTTTGACAACTTCCAAGTCAATTGCTGTGCTGGTTTGCTTTTAATTAGTCCACTGAAAAATAGAATATGTGGTTTTTAGTTTTTTGGGGTGGAAATTAATACAGACATAGTGATTTCTTTTAGAGATTTTCAGTCAATATTTATAAAAAAAATTGCCTTACTTGTCTTTTCCGCACAGACATTAGTCTGACACCCCAAATTTACAAGAATTACTCAGAGGTTTCTATACAGTAAATGTTTTGTTCAGAACATTATGTGTATTTATTTACTAAAGCATCACACAAGTCAATGAAGTAGCATTATCTCAGTTTTGCAGAAAGCTCTAACTCAGACGTTCCCTGCCTTTCTCAGGGCTATAGCATAGACACGATTTGAAATTGGAATTCTAGTCTGTATTTTCTTCTTTCCGTAGTCAGGTTCAACGTTTGACAGTTTTAGTTCAGGATTTATTAACTAAACATAAATAGCATTTTTCCTATTCTTTAGATATTCTGTATCATGTGGCCTTTGGTTTGTTGTAAAGAAACCTGTCCATAAAACTTCTTGCTTAGCGCTGCACAAGTTACTAAGACACCTAGGAGTGTGTGTCCCTAGCTCCGCTCAGGGAGTGGGCTGCCATCTGATTCCCACGGTCAGCCCCCAAGCCAGGTTTGGCTTTGCCTCTGGGTTAGGTTCTGGGGTCCTTTGCGTTGATTCATAAAACTTTTTATGGTAAAATTCCTGAACATATAATGGAACTTTCCTTTCTGCTTTTTCCCTGGAGGGAAAATGAAAGACCTTCTGGAGCAACCCATAAAAATAATTGAATTATCGATTAGTTAAGAAAGTGAAAACACCACGTGCTTTCTGGGTAATGGTCAGGCCCCACTCTTTGGTATTCACAGCTGATAGGACCTTGTCACCTGAACCTCAGTGATGCACTTAGCGCTCTTCTGGAACGATTCATTTGTCTTCTCAAATGAGAATTAGATTACCCACTCAGTGAACCTACCTGTTAGGGTTAGTACCATACTCATCCTCTGTGACTGTTCCAAGATTCTGCACTCTGTTCGCCTACACACTTTTTATGTTGTCTTTGAGATCCCCATTCTTGTGCCCTAATTACAGCAGCCTTTTCCAGTCCTTTATAAGACATACTTTTGTACAGTATCTTGGTATGGCTGTGCCTTCAGCCTGGAATCATGTTTTTCCTCGTCTGCTATGCTTCGTCTGCACCCATTCTGGGCGCGTTCCTGAAGTGTGGTCACTCCCACGCTCAGCAGCCCTATGCTCTGCGCCCATCGCCCTTCCCATTCGTGTATCAGGAAAAGCGGCAGCAGTTTGCAGGAGTAAAGGAAGAGCAGGGGCCGCACCTCAGAGAGGGCTGCACTCTCCTCACCTCTGCCTAGGCAGCCCGGGCTCCTGTGAATCCCACGTTGCCCCGAAGTCTGAGAATTAGAGGAGGTCGGGAGTACATGGTGCACCTTTTGCGGTACAAGCTCAGTGCTGGTGCGGGTTCGACTAGAGTGTGTGGCGGGTCTGTGAACCGAACCAAGCTCTTCATTTAGATCGTCCTGTCCCTCCACATCCCAACCTGGATCACATCAACTGACCGAAGAAAGGAAATAATGCTGCATATAAAGCTGCACTTCAGGTACAGAGCAATAGATTAATCAGAGCTATGAAAAGGTTGAGCTCCAAAGGATGTTTTGGAAAGAGCAACTTTGATTTGGGACATGGTAAGTTAAAACAGTGATTACAGCTTACATCCATTCCAAAGAGGTAATAAGTCAAGCTCTGGATCAAGCTTATGACCTGCTCATTTAGTCCTCAGCGCAACCAAATGAGACACTATTATTCTCACTCTTGGTAGATTAGGAAGCTGAGGCTCGGCAGGGTTAAGACAAGGCCTGCACTCTCGCAGCTGCACATGGTACAGCTAAGAGTCACATCCAGGTCTGATCACCGCATCAGACTGAATGTGTGTTTTGCTGTGGGAAGCCCCAGGGAGCTTGGAGTCACCTCGGTAGGTGCTGGGTGCCTACATCAGACCCACACCGCATTGGGTATGTTAGGTCAGGCCCCACACTGGATGAGACTCAAGCTGCGCTCGAGTTTAGGGCTCTAAATAGCCTCCACCTTCGTCCACGGGCCACTTACTCCTGGCAAGTGCCAAAGTTAGCTCCTTCTTCTGAGGTTCGCGCATCCAACCACACTGCCACACGTGCCACACTGTGGCATCTGTTTGACAGCATACATTACTGTGTAAAAATATCTTCTGAGTAATTTGGATGAAGAAATAAAGATAATTAATTCTTAATAGCTCTGTGAAAAGGTGATAGAGGTTTTCTTTAAAGTTGATAAAACAGGTACTTTTCAAATTGGCTGTTAATTAATATACAGTCACATTGTATTTAGAATAATATTGATGTGATTTCTTCTCTGGATATAAGAGCTTTCAAGATACAGGAAAACCAGACTTTTTATATAATAGATTCAAGTTTGTGGACCTATGTCAAAGTCTCAGCTTTTTAACTATTATGAAACCTCAAGGTTCAGAAGGGTTATTGCAATATATATGGAGTTCTTTCCTTTTAGTTAGCCGAAGCTCATATCAAAGGGGATTTGGTATTCAAAGTTTGGAGCAGAAGCAGTTATTTTATACATGGCACTGTCCTTGCTGCCCTGAAGATTCTGTAGCCCATGAACACCCACTGTTGCTTTAAAAATAAAAAGGCCAAGAATTCACATCCAGCCTGCTTAACAAATAGGAACACAAATTAAACCGTCTAGAGAGAAGCATGGTGCAATTGAAAGAAGGAACAGCTCCATCTTACACACCTGTGTTTGGGATGGGTTTGGGGAGGATGGAGCACTAGCCTCTAGGCCCAATAACTTTCAGGTCATGACTTTCATTCTCCGATCAAACAACAGCAACAGGAACCAAACAATGCACTGGATGAAAATAATTTTTAGTTCTTAGAACACATTTTAAAATTGACAGTAAAGAGCTGGGACATTCAGAAGAGAAGTACCATGCTAGTGAGAGATATAGTTAAATGAAAGCTTTATGCATGGATTGCTTAAGAAGATTAGAAGTTTTCATTATTTTGAAACAAAACAAACATCATCCATAAAAGTATAAAAGCGACAAAAAGGTATGCTGTTGGCCAATCATAGTAAACCAATGAAATGATAGCAAGTACTGATTCATGACAAGAAAGAAAGAAAAGATATACATAAAGAAAAATAAAGAAAGAATGGAAAATGAAACAGCCTCCAATTTGCAAGAAATAAGTAGGTAAAATGTACAAACACCCAGGCTAGCGAACTGCTATAGGTTGACCAGTTTAGTTCCTGCAACAAATATGAACAGAAAAAGAGGCCAAGGAAACCTATAGACAAAAAGAAGCAGAAAGAAGGGCAACCTGTCACAATCATGTGTGACATGATTGTGTCATGAGTCAAACAACCTTAAAACAATTCTGATGAAGTCATTGGAAATTTGACACGGTCTACATGTTTCATGACATTAATAGTTACTCTACTTCTGGTGGGATGGTCATATTGTGGCTATCTTTTAAAATGACTGTTATTGGAAGACACATTCCCCCATATGTATGGATGAGATAAAATGTTTACATCCTAAATAATATGCCAGAGGGGAAAGTAGAAGAGATGTGAGTGGGTCAGGATGGGGACTGATGAGGGGAACGTGAAATTCCATTATGATATTCTGTCTAATTTTGTGAATATTTCAGTGTTTCCATAGCACAGAATTTTTAAAAATGGGAGTTGCTAGTTTAATTAGAGTGTACTTTTCACGAAATACCTACTTCAGTGAATCTATTGGCCACCGATTTTATTTGTGAGCACCGATTATTCTTTAAATTCAATGATCTGTTCATAATGATGGAAACTGAAAATGTATGTAATAGACAGAGGGATTCAGAAATTCAGTTTATATTCACAACAACACACCAAAAGTAATTATTTATAAATACATCCATTATAAACTGGAAATCTAGAGGTTTATTTCATCTCATTTCTCAAATTTGTTGGTGCCATTAGAGATGTTAATTAGCAAGAGTTAATCTTA